CGAAAACCAACTCACGTCCACTGGTCCACACTCGATGCCCATCTAACTTGTAGCGTTGTGGACTGGATTGGGCCAAGAGTGACTCCAAAGGCACATCCCAAGACCAAGTTCATTCCAACAGCAAACAGAGCTTCAGCAAAGAGTCTCTTCCATAATGCATGGACGACGGGTGACTAGAACACCGTCTATGTCCAGGAAGATGACACGCATTATCTCCGCATGGCAGTCGCCCGTGGCCAAGCGGCACACGGACAAAAAAACTGCAGGGATTCCAGCACTCGGATAACAAATCGAGCTTCTATCCTTCATCATGATGTGCCTTAAGCCACGACTTCGAGTAGCTCTTGTCCAAAACAGTACAGATTGCATGGGGTTTCTCTCTCTCTCTCTCTCTCTCGCTCTCTAGCTCTCTCTGGGGGTCTGGCAAGTTTGATATGCAAGTCCGATGCTATTTATGTTGTAGCTAGCACTGTGATGAAATGCTTTCTGGCATGCTGTCATTCCTGAAGCTCTACTTGCAAAACGCTCCTGCTTGCATCAAGCCAAACAACGTACTCGGCGAGCGAGAACAACTTCACTACTTCCCAAGAACAGCTTGACGCGACCCTGCATCAGAAAGGTTCAGCTGCCCTGCCTGTTGGTGGCCTCACGTCCCTCACGCGGACCCAAACCTTCCCTCAATGTCCTACTTGGCACGCGCTGCATACCTGTAGCTGAGTTTGCCCCCATAAGCATCGAAATCCTGAAGCCGCCGCTTGAAGCCTGGTCTTTGGGTGTGGTGTCGCACTTCAACTGGATGTATCCACGGCCGTCAGCCTGTGTTGCGACATTCTCGAACTAAGGTGCAGGGTTCTATTTCTATTTCGGGCAACTAACCTGAGCTCACAGCAGCCCCAAGATATGGACATCACATGCGGAGGAAAAAAGATACCATGAGCCTGAGCTTCCTCGCCAACGCGTTACTGCAGAAAACATGTCAGGGAGATTGCGTTCACCCCTTGAGCAAGTTTCCTGCGCGGTGCCCCTGCAGTAATATCCCCCCCACCACCAGCCTCCTTCAACCCCCCCCCCAACCCCCCTCGCCTCGTATTGCTTCTTTGCTATGTATTCTCGGTATTTTTGCTCCACCGTGCTTCCCCTTGACAGTCTGCGTGGCAAACCTGCCAGCTCCTTGCGTAGCGTGAAAATTCTGCTTTCGGCTGCGATGACTGGCTATGTTTCATATTTAACAATACAGTTGCTAGTATGTTGCACCGTGATGATGACGAGGATGTTGGTGATGATGAATATGACTATGAGATATCATGGCTGTTGCTCTGATTCTTATCTGTCTTCACCTTCCGGTCTCAGAATGCGCGCTGAGGCTCGCAGGCTTTGTTTAGGATTTAGCTTGAGCTCAATTTCGTCTAGAGATTCCCCACTCTTCACTACTCACCCACATGGTGCCTGGCCCCGCTTCCGGCACCGCACCTTGAGCTAGCCTTCATCGCTTACTCAGGGCAGCTATGCCCCAAGCGTTGCTTGGCACATACTTGGCACATACTTGGCACACGACAAAAAAAGCACAGCAGCTGCGATTGGCCTTCTTGAAATTAGCATCCGAATTGAATGGGCTCCAGTCCTTTCGCACATGTGGGAATCAGATGAATCTTGGTCGCGACACCCTCCGGGCTGTTGAATCGTTTGGACGCCAGAGACTGTGCGTAGCCATTTGAGTTCAAGTGCCGGCAGCCTGCCATGAATCCCAACCTAGTTAATCTACGACAATCTTCTTGTGCTCATGGACACGCAGCAACATCACGGCAACTGCACGGCGACCGCATGGTGGCGGCAGCAGCAGCAGCAGCAGCAGCAGCAGCAGCAGCAGCAGCAGCAGAACACCATATTTTGACGATCTGCAATCTTGTTCACGCCATGCCCGGCAGTATCTGGGAACGAAGATCGCCTGCGGCATTGAATCCCCGCTCAACATGCTGGAGCAGGGCCGCCATGCCAAGAGCACTGTCACTCGCCCAAGCTCACTATAGCCAGCAGCTTGCAGGCAAGCAAGGCTCTGCAATGGGTATGGGGCCATGAGATCTAGGTTTCATGACATGTCAGAGCTTGATGAGCTTGGTCCAGTGACAGAGGATGAACGGAAACAGATCCCTTCAAAGGGCTTCCAGTCTTCACCAAGGCTGCCGTTCTTGCGAATTCCGTGCCACTTATGCAAGGCCGGCAGAGAGGTCATCAGCCTTGCAGCAAATCCTACTCAACGCAGGATTCGCGCCATTTTTTTTGCAACTGCTTTTTTTGATAAAGCCGAACAGCACATCACAGTGATCAATTGACACAACATACCAGAATATTGCAGCTTCACTGCAAGATCAACACGAGGGCCGACATAACATCTGGACAACGCAGGAACTTTGAGCCAGGCCATGGGCAGTATAGAGCATGATTGTTCACAGTGCTGCAGCGTCGGCCCTGAGATTGATCCAGTTCCTGACTTCAGCCATGTGGAGACGCGTCCGTGAGCTGACCTTGCAGACAGAATGCCGAAAGAGATCAGCAGCGAGTCTACGTGAACATGCTTGCTATATCCAGCACATATCTCCGGCCCTCCGTAACTACTCTCACCCTAGCGCCGGCAAGCTGGCCTTGCTGGAAGGATGCGCGGTCCCACATCAAGGCTAACCTGGTTGTTTGAAGGTCGGTGCAGGACGCAAATTTGAAGGAAAATGAGAAATGCAATGGCAGGGGCCTCAGGCATGGAATGCCACAGCTCAGTAGGAGATCAAAGGGGATCAACAGGGGTTTCGTTTAGGCATCTCCTGCTGCGATGCATTGATGGAACCGTGACTGCATTAAGCATCCATCTCATCCCTGCTGTCCTTCGCCAAAGCTCTGTGAAGAAAATTCTACGCTTAGGCTTATTTGATGCGTGGTGCAGCTGAGAACTATATCTCGCTTCGAGGCCACGACAGGCGGCCGAGGTCTCCAGAAGCCACTGCAGACGCAGCTTCGAACTGCAAGCAGAGCCTTCGTGAGCCACAATCACTAATTACCTTCGAGACTAAGTTCCACAATGAGAGTTTGGCGACAACTACACACTACACTCGGTTCGGGGAAGGCATACGCATGCTCCGAAACGGCAGGTTGGCAACTTGCAGCGTTGTCCTGCTACAGTAAAACCCCTAACCTCCTTGGAAGGCCTGAATGGCACCAGGGCTTGAGATGAGGGCTTGAAGAGCTTGTGATGCTTATTCAGTGCCCCAGAAAGAGGTACTCTGGGCTGCTGGCGACGGTGCCGGCTCGATCCAAAGCAGCCGGCCAGAGGCATCCCACTGCGCCTGATAGCGGCTTGGGGTTGCGGCAGACTTGAGGCTTCTTGTGGCATTCCCCTTTGATTGGTTCCTTGCTCATGTTGTCGGGGTTGGGACACAAAACCTCGCAACCTACCAACGGCGCGATGGAGGATTTGCCACCAGTAAGGCGTTCGCTCTTACAGACCGTTGTGCAGCGTAGAGTAAATGTCGATAGCCCCTGCAACCTCTTCAAGCCTCAAGTCCAGAGTTGCTCTTTTCTCCGAATGGTGCAGGAGCACAGAACCTGGCCCTGTGCAGTTGCGCAGTAACACTGCTGAGAGCTCGCAGCACCTCTGCCTAGATTCCTGCCGGACGTTTGCTTTGCAGTGGATCCTGGTCGGATTCTGTTTTGCGAAAGTCGAATTAGGATGAGCCACCTTCCTTGTCGCAGTTCTCACTTTGGTTTAGGAAGATTTGTCCCGCTTTCCTGGATCCCTCCAAGTTGCACACGCAAAGTACCCATAAGTGCAATCACCCCTTGCACTCGCAATGCCTTCGCACGGATGGAGGTGGACTCACCTCCCCTGCAAACACCAGATGGGCACTGTGCTGGAAGTGGTCTGAGAATATGTGACATGTGCTTGTGTCACGGATATCTGAGTGAGAGAGGAAAATTTTGCACTGGGCCCATCCTGACCCCGAATGCGCTGGCCTGCTGAGCACGACCATGCCCTCGCTCTCGAGGAACTCGATCCTCGCGTTGGCACGCGAATTGCGAATTGTGCAGCTTCTCATGAGGTTCAGGAGTTGCACAGGCCTTCTAGATCTGGCCATCAGGCTGCTGTGTCCTTCTGTCACTACTCGGAAAGATGCATCACTTGCAGCAATAGTGCCACAACTGCGCATAAGGATGGAGAGGTGGCCCGAGGTCATGCGCACACGATGTCTGAGTGAGGTTGTTGGTGCCGCACAGCCCGTCCACTGCCCTGAACCTCAACTGCTGAACCAAACCAAGCTTCAAATCTCAAATCTCTCCTTGGCAAGCCCATGTCCGCCTCAAAGGCAGCCAAGCGCTGCAAGCGCGCAATCTGGCGAGCCACAGGGGGAGTCGTGGGGTGGTCGCATGCACCCGGGCCCTGGCTTCCCAACCAATGTGCCATCTTCCCCAAAGTATCCCCCCTACAAGGCATCCAAAGGCATCCAACCATGGTGTGCCTCTTCCAACTCTGCGGCTTCGAGCTTGGCAAAGTATTGTACCAAGCCCTGGCAGAGCATCTGATCTCCGATGCAATCTCCATCCATCTCTAGAATTTTCTGAGTTTGCAACTCGCTCATGGACTCAGGGAGTTTTGACATTGGGCACCTGGGTACGCCGTTTCCAGCTGCCTTGAGTCTAAGACTTGGACATATCCCTCTGAACCGAATTTCTAGGCACCTCCTCATCATCAGGGGCAGAAGAGGTTCGGAGCCTCTTTGCCTCAGAACCAAGTTGAGTGCTGGATCGGGCTTCGACTCGACGGGACAGCCAGGCAATCAGAATATTGATCGGATCATAGCCAAGACGCTCGAACCATACTCAGACTCTAGACGTACAGCATTCCAGCGAAATGTCCCAGGGATCTCTCAGGAACGCTCACATTCTGCCCGCCCAAGCTGGGGCCACATCCACTGAACGAGGCCCAGTCAACTCCTCCTGGCATCGACGGAGTGGAGATGCACAAGGGACTCGACTTTGAGCCGTCGGCACATGGTGATGCTTCAAACAGCGTCTCCCATCTCCGTATCACACCACACCTCGTCTTGCTCTTCTTGAATCGAGGCGCGCAAATCCTCCAGCTCCTCTTGGCAGAGCCTGTGGGACAAGCTCTGGCATCTCTCGCATCTAGCAGTTCGGTCCGAGGTTGCCAATGGTTGGTGCCGTGGAGGAAGACTTGTGAAGAGGAGCCGAGGGGTGCAGAAGAAGTGGTAGCAACGGAGGGAGATGAAGAGAGCAATTCGAGTTTGGTCTTCGTGCGCAGCATAGCTGTGGTCATAAACAGGAGGAGTGGGAGGTCAGTCAACAGCACCTAGCACCCTTTGCCGCCGCAATCGTGTTGCATGTCGCGTTGCCCGTGCCCCTTCATGTCCGTACAGCAACGGCTCCTGAATCTTTCCAAGGCATCCCTCTGGGTCTTTGCCAACTCCTGCACAGAATACAACACACACACACACATAGACAGAGCGAAACATGCAAGAAGCACCGACCAAGGTACATAGAAGATCACAAAAGCACCTTCATTTAACCCCCAAGAGCATGTCTACAGGATTTCAAGAGCACATGTTCGGCTAGAACAAGAAGACCAGGATCTGGTCTCCTTCCCCCCCGTCCCAACCGCCGGAGCCGAAATCCGATGTGCACCCCGCGTGGGGCCAGGCCGGCCCCCACGGCGGCGGCCGCGCAAACGTTTACAATGATATGCAAGTCAGAAAGCGCCGGCCAGAGACCATCCCCGTCCCGTCCTCGCTCAGGCGAGCGTGCTCTTCCAGCTCACGGAGAAGTTCCTCCCCCAGAACCTGTCGCTCCCCACAGCTGCTGTGTAGGCGTGCTTTGAATCACGGAGTGGAGATGGAACTTGAGGACTCTATGCTGTGATGCCTCAAACATGCGACTCGGATTCTACAGAGTTACGCAAGTCGTCAAAAAGGCCGTGTGCGGTCGCTCCCAGCCGCCTCCTCTTCTGCTGAGAGCTGGCAAAAAGTGCGCTCCAGCGCTTCTCCTGGTGAAGATGCCCCAACAATGGGGGGACGAGTAACGGTGAGTCTGGCCCCAAAGGGGGAGCCGAAACTCTGATGTAGCTAAGGGCGGCGCCTGGGTCCAGCATAGCGAGAGAATTCTACCAGTGGAAACATGCTGAACATGTTAACCCATTCATGGTCTAGCCTGGTAAGCCACCAGACTCTTGCATCTGCATGAAGTGGCGCTGGGCCTGCACATGCAGATGCGGGTTCGTACGAGATGGGAGCTCCACTGGAGAGAGAGGTGGTGTCCTCATACCCATAGAAATCGGACAAGAAAATTAGCCGGGAAAATTTAAATGCAGAAGCCACGGCATGCTCCCTTCGGACATCCTGTGTGTGCGACTGGTCTGGTGGCACAGTGAGCCCCGAATGGACATCCGCAAGAGGGCACGATGCTTACCTTTTAGCAACCTGATGTTTTTTGTTTATGTAGAAGATGGACTGTTGTATTGGAAAGTATTGTGTATACACATCTTTTCATGAAAGAACATATTATATATCTTAGCCTAGCAAACTGCTCGGCAGCATGCAGCCTCGACCGAGAGGAACATGAACTTTCTCTGCTTGAACTCCTGCAAGGCTGGGCTCTGCAGGAAGCAGACGTGTGAAGCAAAGGCATGCCTCAGGATTCTTCACTGAGCTTCAATGCTGCACGACACACTTATGCACGCAGACACGCTGCTTTGTCATGAGCCCAACAGTCGGCGAAACCAGCCTGCAACACTGTCATTCAAAACTGCTACAGCTGAAGCTTCAGCTAAGCGCTTGTCCTGCTCCCAGTCGTCGCCCTCGTCTGCATTCGGCTCCGGCTCCTTCTTGTGGGAGTATGAGGCTGTTGTGGCTTTGGGCGCTCAACAATTCAGTATTCGGTGTCGCGCATCTTCAGACTGCAATGCCCGATGATGTGCAATGCAAGCAAAGTACGGGAGCTACGGCTTTGCTTTACTTGTGGCAACTGTCTCTCTGCAGTGTTGTAACTGCAGACGCTCCTTCAGCATGGCTTCACTTCACATGACCTTGAAGCCCAAGACCCCAAAACTTCCTAAACATCCGAATTCCTTATACCGAGACTGCGAGGCAGCGTCTCCTCATCGGCCAGATTCAGAGCTTCCAGTAGGGCCCCGCACCTCCAGAGGTAGAGCGGGCATGGTTGGCTTGTTTGCGGCATCAAGAGCCAAGAACCAGCTTCAGCTGCTGGGATGGACTTGCAAGCTCCCAGGGCACTTACTGTTTCTTCTCATTACTTCCAGCAGACAGGAGCACCATAAGAACCGAAATACCACAGGCTCTCACGAGTTGAACTTCTGCCTGGCAACTTGCGGCAGCAGTTCCAAAGCCATGAGCCCAAGGGCTGTTGAAGTCGGTCGGCTCGCCGGCAGAAGAAGAACAACAAACTAGCATGATATGTGGCATGTGATTGCATACGAAACAATGTCGCTTTTGCCCTGGAGCCAGAACTGTTCACCTGATTTGATTGGGATATGTTTCATTGGTATATCTGAGCTGCCCATGGCAGCTTAGCACAAGACAATAGGCCTAAGCACACGAGACACATGTGACCAGCAAGGAGAGCCGACACTGGGATTTCGCGTAATTCGACGAGTTCACATTCAGCCTCAGCGACTCTAGCAGACTCTAGCAACACGTTCATGCCACAGCACACAGAGTCTCAAAAAAGCGGCTTCTCCTCGGGGAAGAGGCCAAGCAGCATGCGCATGTACTCGCCAGTGCCTGTGAGATGTTCTGCAAACCACAAGGGCATCACTAGTAGAATGAATTGTGCTGACCACCGGCAGATGCTTCGTCGTGAAGTCACCACTAATTACAGTACCTACTGTAATGAGCTGCAAGTGTACAAGCCACGATGTAGCCAGTCATGAGCTCTGAGACCCAAGCTCGGGTGGCACAGGAAGAAGCCAGGAGAGATGATCTGGCAGCCAAGGCTACATGGTTTACCCATGTTTCTCTTCCGTTCAGATGTTAAGGCTCCTGCTGTGCTGGAAGCCCTTAAACATGAACTTTTTTTGAGCAAGAAGGCGACCGTTCATTCCTGAGAACCCTCCAGGCCCTCACCGCAAGCTTGGTAGCAGCTGTCAACTATCATCTGATCTCTGGCGAACTGAATACCCACCGCCCGACTCTCGCTGACGTGCAGTACATATCAATTCGGGACGGGTCTACGTTTAAGTACAGCCAATGTTGCATTCGGGACTTCAGATAGAGCAGTGCCCATTCAATGCAGTCACCACATCAAAGCCTCATCAGGTTTTGAAAGGAAGACAAGTTGTAACGGGGCAACCCCACAACTACTGTTGCTACTCATGTTGCTACTCTTCCACTGACCATCGCCTGCTTGTCATTGCTTTTCAGCTTGCGAGCGTCCACGTGCCAGGACACCAGGTAACATCCCAGCCTCACAGAGGGCTCTGAAGGCTCCGCAAAGTCCTAATGCGAAGGCCCAGTTGCCCCTTGCTCGCAAAACCACCCACTTTCCAGCCTCCCAGTTGTCTGGACTTGCACGGTCTGGGGCTCCAGGGGGTCCACCAAGGGCACACCTGGGACTCCAGGGGGGGCCACAGAAGAAGCAGGTATTTGAAGGACCCACGCTGACGTGCTACGTTGTGATCCGACAAGCCTGCAACCCGAATTCCAACCTGATATTCACTGCTGCGATCTGCACAGCCACGGTGTGCAACCCAAGGCAAGCTCTCCACTGTGGGTTTCAAAGAGCCAGCTGACCAAACCAGGCAGAGGTGCGGACCCAGCAGACGGGCAATCTCACACACGTAGGCAGCGTACTCCGGGGGCAACACAACCCGGTTGGCCTGAGATCCACGGCACGGTAAGAGTTCACACCTCAAGATGTTCTACGCTACTTTTAAGGTTCGCCCACCGGACTGGGCGTTCAGTGTTGCGACCGGAAGCCAAAAAGCCAGGGCCTGAATCCACCAACCCGTCAAACCGCTACTCCCTTGGCATTAAGGGTGTGCGAAAGGTGGAACGTCGCAGCAAGACACCATTCTGCGCAGAAGCACCACTGACAGGGACCTCATGCGAAGCAGAACCTCTCAAATCCTTTCAAGAGCTGGTGCGTCTTGTTCTTGATGGCCACACAGCACACACATAGCATCAGCACAAAGCTTCCCGACGGTGTCGACCCACAAGCCTGCCTAAATCTCGCCTGAGTATTCATGAGCATTCCTTGCAGCAATCTTGGGGCTACGAGCCGAGGCAATGGAGCGGAAGGTGAGCAGAAGAACCCTCACACCAAATGGATGGCCAAGTCTACCGCTTACAACGCGGAGCACGGGGTCAAAAAACTCCCCAACCCAAAGCCCCAAATGCCAAAGAGGAAGCCGAGACCTCCCAAGTCAGAGGGAAATGTGGTTCCACCTTGCCTGCAGCCAGTAAATGTAGTCGAACCACTCTTGCACCTCGAATGGCTACGACGGGCCATTGGAAAATTATGAGGCCGCGGCTGGGCTTTTTGCTGGGTGCAACTTCAGTCCGAGGTTCATTGCAGGGTAGGAATTCTCTTCCCGAACGGATCATCTCGGACTGTCGGGTTCAGAAGTTCAGCAGGCAGTGGCTAGTCTGATAGCCTGATGATGAACTGCGATTGTAGACGCAGGCACAGAAAAGATCTGAGCTCCTGGCAGTGTACTCCGGAAGTGGCATGTACATGTGGGAATCAGCTCCATACCTTGTTGCCCATCTCAAGAAATTCAAAGAAGCATCGTGCGAAATCACAGAAGGAAAGCGCCCCACAGGGTGGCAGCTGGGGCTTGAACTGTGGCTCTCCACTGACTCCCTGGAGATAGGGTCACAATGGGTCACAGCATGGTTGCAGCATGTTGCAGACACTTGGGCTTCTGAAGGGGCTATTTCGTGGGGCGGGGACACAGAGGCACATATTGAGAAGAACGAAGCATTACGCCGTAACAGGTATTCACTACAGCGAGGCACCCGAAAGCAGTAGGAGATAAAAGGCCCAGAAGAATGCAACAAAGACCATAGCTGTTCGATGAGGTGCCTCGCGAGACACGTGCTGATGCCACGCCAGATCCAGACCCTTTGCGCCGTGGCCTGAACCTCATGAACCCCTGAGGCCGCTGCCGTGAAATCGAACTCCGGCGCATTCGGGTTCAACCTCCAGCGTCTTGGTTGCTTAACTTAATGTTGCTGAATATCAACAACGACGATATTTACGCGTTCTGGGGGTAATGATTCCTGACAAACAGAGGAAGCTGCAGGGGATTGAACCGAGGGACGTTCCTTCCCATACAAATCCA